TTGGCCCAGGATCGGACATTGTTTCGTTCTGCTGTGCATGGGGTCGCTATGAGTCGGTTCTGACTCGATGGCACCTGACAACAACAACAACGTAACTGTTTCATGAAGGACTCGTCAGACTACAGAAACAAGACCTACAGACTACAGAAACAAAACACCCAACCTTTTTTAAGAAGTTTTATTCTCCTGTCAATAGTAACACACCTAAACTCCTATGGTACGCTGGTAGATTTGGATTGCTGACCTTGTGGTTAGCAACCCAACTCGTAACACACTATCAGAACTCCTTAAAGAATGGAGATAGGATTGTCCTTCTCAAAAAAGTAAAAATAATGAAAAAGTACTAACCTATACAATAATTAAGAAATGCATACTAAAACAGTATTTTTTTCACTTATCAAATTGGAAAAGGTTACAAGATTTGATCATGTTTGGTGATGACAAGTATATGGGGACCTAGGTACTTTTGTACTATGCAGAAGAGTTTAAAATGTAACTTTCCCAGAAAACAAGCAGCTGGTCTGTGTCTAGGAATTTGACTTTCAGGTATATTCAAAGGCACAAAGCTTTATGTACTAAAATGTCCATTGTAATATTGTTTGTAATAACAGCAATAAAAGATATTTATAGCTGGTTTAGTAAGTTTTGCTAGTAGAGGGTCAGAGAAAAAGAGGAAGACCCCCAGCGAGATCGATTGGCAAAGTGGCAGCATCAATGGACTCAAGCGTGGCAACAATTGTGAGGATGGCCCAGGATCGAGCAGTGTTTCGTTCTGTTGTGCATAGGGTAGCTATGAGTCGGTATCGACTCGATGGCACCTAACAACAACAAAAAAAAAAGTAATGGAAAATATGCAGTCATTAGAAAGAATGAGGAAAACTGTATGAACTGATACTATTCTACATTAATGATGTCTTGGAGATACTTCTGTATATATAATATGAACCCATGTATATAAATAAATATACATTTATGTATGTGTCCTATGTGTATTAGTATTGAGTAAAAAGTAACATCCATGAACTTGTTATCATAGGTTGCTGTTGAAGTGAATCTAATGAACGAGGAGTTTACATTTATTTTATTTTCAGTCTTTTAAAGTGGCAACCAAAAAAATTAGTATAAATAAATATAATCTTATTAGAAATCATTGTGATTGTATATATTAAGAACTTAAAAATTAAAAATGTTCACACCCTTTGACAATGTAATACCATTTCCAGAATCTATCTATAATACATGTAGATATATATTTACATTGAAATATGTTTGCTATATTAAAGTTTATAATAATGAAAACTAGAAACAGTCTGATTACAGTAAAGTTAAATCAGTAAGGACATGTAGAATATAATCTATTACTTAAAATCATATTGTAGAGTATCTAACAGTAGTCTACACATCGACATTATATATCGTATCAAACTTTTTATAAAGCATACCGTTTTGTTTTAAAATGTACTTATATGCTTAAGAAGAAAAACTATATATTAATCAGAAAATTTCATATATATTTTGCTCTTTGTCCTTTTTTTCCCTGAAATTAACAGCTGCCACCAACTGTTGTTTTACCATCCTACCCTACTCCGCCAGTCCTTTTTACCATTAACACTGTAGAAATGACTCAAGGTTTTCAATTATTTAACCACTGAGTCACTTCCGTTCTCATTTTCAGATTTTTTCTTGGTCTTGCTTATGGTTCCTTCTTGGCCAGGTCATCTTGTGCCACCTGGATATATGCAGGAGCTGAGTCATGCTTCCAGTTTCCTCACAATAGGCTTACCTGCTGCTTCCTATGTACCATGGGTCTTGCTTTAAACCAGTCTTCACCTTAATTGTAATCGAGAAATAAGGAGTACAACATATTTTTTTTTAACTCTGTCTTTAATAGTTTTTTTTGTTTGTTTGTTTGTTTTAGCAACTTAAAAACAGTAATTTCATAAAAACATCAACAATTGGAGACAGAAATAGGTGACTCACCAATTGTATAAACAACTTCAACATCATCCATTTGGGAGTCAGTAATGCTATTCTTGGCTTCACCTTTCACTTCACCAAGGAGAAAACCTTCCTAGGAGCATAAAAATAAGAAGCAGCACATGGACTACTTGACAGAATTACCAGTCACTTAACCAGTATTTTACAATGTATTCAAATGTGTACTAGCAGCTTGAGGACACATGAAAGGCCATCCTGGCATGGCGCTGTAGGATCAGCAAGAGACTTCAAACCACAGAGTTGGGAGTTCAAACCCACCAGCTGCTCCTTGGGAACCTTATACAGGGTCAATGATTTGGAAGCAACTTAATTGCACTTAACAACAAGTGACCAGAGGTAACTGGTACCTTTCTAATCCTGCCTCTGGAATAGAGTGAATGAAAACTTGTTTTCTTCCTTAAAAATGATCTATACATTACCCGCACACCCCTTTTTTCTACTGCTTTTGCATTTATTTTTAGTATTTAAAAATGGCCACTTATATATGCTTTCTGCAAGGTCGGCAGTTCAAGCTCACCAGCCGCTCCTCAGAAACCCTTCAGAGAGTCGCTGTGGGTCAGAACCGACTTGACGGCACTTCACAACAATAACATATATGCTTTCCTGTAAATAAAAGACTGAACAAAAAAGACAAAAATTTTTTAAAAGTATGGGAGAAAGATTGTAAATCATGGTGGTGGTGTTGTTAGTAAGTGCTGTCCAGTTGGTTCCAACTCATAGTGACCTTGTATAGGGTTTCCAAGGAGCAGCTGGAAAGTTTAAACTGCCAACCTTGCAGTTCAAATCGACCTTACGATTAACTGCTTTTCCTACAGTGCCACACCAGGACTCCATGGTGATGTTAAGATGGGGAAAAAGATCAATATAGCCTGAAATAATTGGAGGAAGCCTTCCACGGGAGGAATGGAGCGAACCTTGAGGGACTGATTATATTTGTGTAGGTAGAGTGTGAAGTGCTTAGCTAACACTTGGAAGCATGAGCAAAGGCTATCAGGAATTAATTAAATTCAGTGTTTAATCAATGATGAGTAAAACAGTTTCTCTTGGAACAAAAGGCTCCTAATTGTAAGAAAATCAAGGATAGAGTCATTAATGGAACATTACAAATGTCAAGCCAAAGGGTTCAGGTTTAAAGATAAATCTGGAAATCATTGGAGGCTTCACAGCTGAAAAATGACCTAATTATCAGTGTTTTTATTGTAGAATAATAAATTTGTAGAGCAAAATAGCAAAGATTAAAGATCTGGAATTCAGTATCAATTGTCAAAACAAAAAACTGGTGTTTTGCCACAACTATTGTAATCTCTTTTAGTTTCCAATAATCCATTTCTTTTTCTTGGCAAATTTAAAGATCTAATGTGTTTAGGTCCGTGGGAGAAAGATAAGGCTTTCTGCTCCCGTAAGGATTTACAGCTTTGGAAAACCTACATAGGGTCACAATGAGTTAGAACCAACTCCATGGCACATAATCACCACCACCACCAATGTGGTCTTTATATACCATGAACTGTGAGAACAAACAAATTTGTGTTTAAAGAATGCTCCTTAGAAGGGAGGATGGCAAGACTTTATCTCACGTAATTTGGACATGTTTATGAGGAGGCCTCTAGAGATTCACCTCATGCTTGGTAAAGTAGAAGGTCAGTCCAAAAGAGAAAGAACCTAAACAGGATGGACTGACACAGTGATTAAACAATGGACTCAAATATAGCAACAGTTAACAAGGATGGTGAAGGACCAGATAGTATTTCATTCTGCTGTCTATAGGGTTGCTATGAGTTGGAACTGACTCCATTGGCACCTAACAACAATGTACGTTACAGACACTGAAGATTTTTTTCTTCTTAACAACTGGTTCATGAATTTTTTCCCTGTTCATGGAATCAAAGGGAAAGAAAAAAATTCTGGAACTCTACAATTAAGTGTGTTTGATTTTGATATTACAAAGAGCAAACCAGGAGATTCAGTGTGGCTCTGCGGGATTAGCAACTGTTACCATAATGTCAGTGACTCAAATCTTAGCAGCTGCTCCTCGGCTGTGAGCTGGAACTGACTTGAAGGCACATAACAAAGGGCAAAGTCTGGATACAGACGCAAGGACAATGTAAGTACACATATCTAGGAAACCAGCCTTTAAAGACATCTACAAATGATCTGAGAAACAGGGACCTTTCTAGCTCTATATGTATTTCCCAAGGGCCCATCCTTTAAGCAACATGGGATTTAAAAATCAATTTTATGTACAAGGATAAGATAAAAAGTATTGTCACAAAATTGTAGCTATCTTAATTTTTAAAAATTCAAAATGTGAAGCTACTGTCTCTTAACATACCATCCATCTAGGTCTATATGCTTCTGAAGATGCTCTTTTCATCTCCTAACTCACTCCAAAATCTGTGCTTTTTTAAATTTATGTCATGTCAAAACAGTAGTTTGGGGTCCCCTCAGTACAAACCCCATTCCAAGACTAAGACTCAATGGGAATACATGCTGTGATTGGTGACCACGCTCGACATCGATAAGGGGAAGTGAGGGAAAAACAGCAATGAAACGGTGAGCTAAACCCTACAACGTTCAATAGACTTCTGTGAACCCGGGTGAAGACCTGGTTGGCCAG